GCGAGCCGAACCGAGCCGCGCCGATAGCCATCCGGCCCCGGCTCCAGTGCGCGACCCCGGCCTGCGGCGCGGCCCGGCGGGTCCGGCGGGGCCGCAGCCCATGGAGCTCGAGAACATCGTAGCGAACACGGTGCTACTTAAGGCCCGAGAAGGTGAGCGGCCGGGAAATCGGACGCGCCAGGGTGCAGGGAGCGGCGGGCGTTTGGCCTCCCAGCTCAGCAGGACGCCCCAGCCAAATGGCTCTCTAGACCCACGGGCTCCGCGCCCGCACCCCACGCAGACTCGAGCCCTTCCGGGCTGTAGTCCTCCTCCGCACCTGCCTCGGGAAGCCGGCGCCCAGGAAGGGGCGGGGGTCAGGCCGCCGCCCTCGCCGCGGGGGGGGGGGTGAGGGAAGGAGAAAGGAAGGAAGTGAGGAGGGTGGGACCTGAATCTTGGGAGAGCCTCTCCGAGCTCTCTCCCAGGTGAGAGGTGAGAAGATGGCCTAGGGAGGGGAACCCACCCCACGTGTTCGGCCCAGGCCCGGGCGCCTAGCCTGCACCGGACCAAAGTTGCTGCTGGGTAAAGGTTTGGAAAATGAATGAACTCAGCCCCTGCGTAGCACAGCCCACCCGACTTAAGGAAACTCCTGGTCATGTATGCTACTAACACGACTGCCAGTTGCTGGGTACCTCAGTGCATGGGACAGAGATGGATGGGCCAAACAGGCACAGTAACAGGTGGTAGCTGGGATTTGAAAGAAGAGAGCATGTCTGGCAGGCTGCACTGGACCTACTAAGGTGTGAGCCTAGTCTGGTGAGCCCATGTATACTGAGCCCCTCCTGGCTTCCCACCTCTGCCATTGTCAGGCATTGTCAGAGCAGTCTGTGAGGATTCTGGGGGACAAGGAGCACCAGACCTGGTCTTTACTATCCTGTGGGCTATCACAGCTCATCTCAGTAACGTAATTACTGAGCATCCACTCTGTGCCCTGCCTTATCCAGGGTGCTTGGGACCCAGCAGTGAGCAAGGCCATTCTTTCTGGAGCTCCAGAGAGGACAGTACATAGTGCCTAATGCATTTGACTGCTAACCAGAAGGCTTGCGCTTCAAGCCCACCAGCCACTCCTTGGAAGACTGGGCAATCTACTTCCGTAGAAATACTGCCTTGGAAACCCAAGGAGGGTTTGCTAAGAGTTGGATCCAACTCGATGGCAGTGAGATTGGAGTTTTTTTTGGGAGGACAGTCATGACAACTTCTCCACACTTTGCTGGGCTTCCAGGTTACAAGAGTTATCTGCTCTACCTTTCTGCCCCATTTTTCAGTGGGCAACTGAAACTCAGACCAGGGACTAGCCCCATGTTACCCAGAGAGTCCAGGATGCCCCCGATACAGTCTGTAGGAAGCCCAGAGGGTTACCCAGCTGGGTATAGCTGCTGGTCCCCTTGCCCATCCATACTTATTGATCTCTGGGGTGTGCTGCCTGGAAATGGGCATGGGAAGCTAGCTGGGTCTTCAGTGGCTGGAGCCTCCCTTATCTCCTGTCCCTTATCGAACCCTGGGGCTAGGCCTTCCTCGCAGCCTCTGGGGGCATCTGCCGATTCTGTTCTGCCTCGTCATCTAGCCAGCCAGGGAGGAGGAGTGGGGAGAGCCGGGCCAGGCCTCCCTCCCTAGGGCTCTAGCCATTCAGGGCTCAGACCTGCTGAGGGCACTGCCTTGCCTGGCCAGAGTGTGTGGGCATCATTGGACAGGCTTCATCAGGCCACGGGCAAGGCATAGGGAGTATGGTCCGGCCAAGGACTGGTACCTCCATGGAGAACCCTTACACTGACCTGGCTCTACCCTTTCCCAGCTGTATGGCTTTAGACAAATCTCTCCTTTCTGAACTTCAGTATCTCTTTCTTGAATGGTTGGGTGTGGGACACGAAGATTAAAGGAAATCCTGATTGTCACCTAGTTCTGAATGGTGGCCCATAGAATACTGGTGCTGATTTTATTTATAAAAACAAAAGAAAATTAAAAAAAAAAAATCTGCAACCAAATAAATAAAACATGTCAAAGAGCCAGATCTGGCCAGGGATCACCAGGTTGAGATGGTGGCTGCATCAGAATCACCTATCAGCTGGCTAACAGCTTGGTGCCAGGGCCTTTACCAGCTTCTCAGACAGTCCTGAGATCCTAAAGTGGTTGGAAAATCCTTGGTATATATATACTGTTGGCATCTAATAAGTGACCAGCATGTTTGCAGGGTGGAGGGAAGTAGTTTGAGTTGTGGTGTCACAGGGAGCTAGGTTCAAATCTTGCCTCTGTCCCCTCCAGGATCTGTGATCTTGGGCAAATGGTTTCCTCACTTCAGGACCTCATTTTCTGGTGAACTTGAGCCCAACTGGTCAGAGTTGCTGAAGTGCAGCAGCATGGGGGTGTGAGCCCTAGCTCAGTCTTTCCTTTCCCAGGCACCCAGAAGCACAGGGAGAAGGCTAGGTAGGGTGGAGAAAGCCCCACTGTCTTGGTGGCAGCTCTAGGACAGGGTATTTGCATGTGACTCTTGGCTGCTGCCTTGATGTGGACAGGAGGAGGGGGAGGAGGAAGTAAGTGGTGGGGGAGGTAGGCGGATGGAGGGTTGGGCAGATGGAGGGTTGGATGAGGGGGTGGGGAGGAGTTCCCTTTCTGGAGAGGCCTTGCTCACTCACAGTGATGCAATGACTGCAGGATATGTTGGGTACAGGCTGCAGGAGAACCACTAGCAGGTTTCCCAATGGGTATTCTGTAACACTTCCTCCTCCAGGGAGCCATTGAGGGACCCTCCCCTGTACCATCAGCTTTCACCCAGGCCTGATGGAAACCTGGCTGGGAAGAGCACAGGGGAAACTGAGGTCAGGCAAGGGAAGGTACTTGCTTAAGATTGCCCCTGAGCTGGTGGAGCTGGGCCAACCTCTTGCCATGGCTCTACTTGCTTGGACACATTCTCCCGTTTCATCCTCACACCACTTCCAGAGGTAGATTTGGACCCAAAGTATATACAGAGAAATTGAGGTTCATAGAAGACAAGTGATGAATCTAAAGAATGAATTGGAGTTTCAAACCCAGGTCTGTGAGACAAGATTCATGCCCCTTCTACCGTCTCAACCTGGTGGTCCCTGGCCAGATCTAGCTATCTGACATATTTTATTTACTTGGTTGTAGTTTTATTATTACTATTATTTTAAATTTTGTTTTGTTTTGATTTTGTAAATAAAATCAGCACCAGTTTTTCCACCAGCCCCACAGGAGAAAGATGAGGCAGTCTGCTTCCATAAAGATATATAGCCTTGGAAACCCATTGGGGGTCACTATGAGTCAGAATCGACTTGATAGTGAATTTAGTTTTGGGTTTTTTTTTTTTTTTTTTTTTTTTAAATTTTTGGTTTTGATTTTGTAAATAAAATTGGCACTAGTTTTCCATATAAATAAAACAAAACAAAAACAACCAAACTCACTGCCGTCAAGTCGATTTGACTCATAGTGACCCCTCCTTCAGTTTCCAAGGCAGTATCTCTACGGAAGTAGATTGTCCAAGCTTCCTTCCGAGGAGTGGCTGGTGGGTTTGAACCCCTAACCTTCTGGTTAGCAGTCAAATGCCTTAGGCACTATACCACCAGAGCTCCCAGTTTTCCACAAAACATTCTATATTTCCAGCTTGTTTTGAAAAATCAGAAGATTTGGCCACACTGAGCCAGCATTCTTGCCTGGCAACAATCAGCTGGAGTTGTGGTGCAGCTGCCCCTGTCCTGGTTCATTACACTCCTCACCACTCCCTGTTGTCTCATGTCTGGGCCACATTTATCATACTGTCTGGCTCTGTAGGCATTTGAGCTGACACTGTGGTCTCAGCAGCTACAAGTGGAGGGGTCAGCTAGGTAAGATCAGGCAGGTATCCAGGCCAGGGAAGCCCTCACATGTAGGAGAGGGGACCCTAAGTGTCGGCCCTCCTTCCACCACCTTTATGTGCTGCTCTTCAAGCCTTCCTTGAATCTCTGATATCCCTGATGCAGGACCCAGTGATAGAGGCCTGGAAGCCTTCCCAGTGGCCTAGGTTGCTGCTGCCCTTGGCATCTCTCAGACATGTCCCAAATACCCTAGAATCTCTCCCATCTGGGCCCCAATTTAAGCAGTTCCCACCGCTTTTGATTCCCTTCTTTACTTTCTTCACCTGGGGAACTCCCACCTAGTAGGAACAGACTTTTGCAGAAGCTACTAGAGCCTCCCAGGTTCCTCACTGCTCTCTGGCTCTCCCAGCCTGGGAGTACCTGGCAGGAAGGCCCATGTGTGTCCTGGTCCCCAGCAAGGGCAGGTTTGAAGTATGTGAGGGAAAGACAGAGGTGTGTCTCAGGGTGGGCTGGGCCTAGGTGGGGCCCTACAGGCCCTGTGGACTATGCTGAGGGTCAAGGGGAGGCATGGTGGTGGCAGAATTCAAGACATAGCCCTGTTTGCCCCCACAGGTGGTGGCGGGAATCGCAAAGGCAAAAGCAAGAAATGGCGGCAGATGCTGCAGTTCCCCCACATCAGCCAGTGTGAAGAGCTGCGGCTCAGCCTCGGTGAGGTGTAGGCAGAGACTGAGGGGTCCTCCTGGTGCAGGAGGAGCTTCCCCCTGAGACCTTGCCCTGGGGTAGAGGAGCAAGGGAGGTCTGGTGAGCAGGAAGATTGAGGCTGTACCGCCCACCCTAGTTTCAGTTCCTGGGCTTGGGATGGGTGGAAGGCAGAGAAAGGCCCTTGTGAGGGGCACATTTGGGCAGTCAGAGAAGCAGAGGAAGGAGCAGCTACTAGGCTTAGGGTCAGCAGGACCCTGGAACTGAGGGGGTGGTAGAGGCAGAGGACAGCCCACAGCCTGACTGTGTTGGGGGCCCCAGCCTGTACAGTGTAACGGGGTTACTTCTGGGAAAGGACAGAAGAGCCAGGGCTTATCTAGGCTGAGGCCCAGGTCTGAGTAGCACTTAAGGCTGTCCAGGCCCCTCCGATGATGTGCACGCGGGCAAGGAACATTCTGTGGCTGCTCTCGCTGCCTGGGAAGGAGGCTGAGTTACAAGCTCACCGGAAGCCACAGCTTCCTCCTGCACTTTCGCCAGGCAGGCAACAGGTGTGGGCCAGGCCCAGGGTGGGCCAGAACCTCTCAGAGTGCATCCAGCACTAGCACTATGATGCATGCAGTACTGCCAACCAGGAGGCAGCCAGGCAGGTAGAATCCTGGGTTTTGGAGCCAGATTCCTAACTGTGACCTTGGGCTAGTACTTTACCTCTCTGGTCCTCAGATTTCCTAGCCATGATGAGAATAACAGTAGTATCCACCCAGGCTTGTGGTGAGGGTTCTGAAGGTGTCCTGCAAGCTGTTGGAACCAGTGCCTGGCGGTGTGAATTGGGCCGCCCGGCCGCTGGCAGGCTCCAGTCTGTGAACCCAGCAGTTCCCTCCTCTGCCTGCAGAGCGTGACTACCATAGCCTATGTGAGCGGCAGCCCATCGGGCGCCTGCTGTTCCGTGAGTTCTGTGAGACACGCCCAGAGTTGACACGCTGCATCGCCTTCCTGGATGGGGTGGTAAGTGGGCCTGTCACTGGGGGTGGCCCACAGGTAAAGGTCCCAGGCCTCATTGCAGTACTCGCCCCCCCCCCACCTGTTGCTCAGCCCCAACTCTGAGCTTCTCCCTTTCCCTCCTGCCTGCAGGCTGAGTATGAAGTGACCCCTGATGAGAAGCGGAAGGCGTGTGGGCGGCGGCTAATGCAGAATTTCCTGAGCCACACGGTGAGTGAGTGGTAATGGAGGAATGATGGCCTCTAGCAGAGTGCATCACTGGGGTAAGGACTGACCACAGCCTGGGCAGAGAGTGCCTGGAGCTGCTCCAGGCTCCACCAGGCACACCGTAGGCATGGAGTTGGGGAAGGCAGGAGGAGGAGCAGGGAGGTGTGGGGCTCCAGCTTGGGTGAACTTGCCAGTGGCTCTCCTATGGCCTCCCTCCAGGGGGGCTGGGAGGACAAGGTTCAGCAACCAGGTGGGCTGACTCATCCCTGGTCTGCAGCCACCCCTGGCACAAGCCTGAGATCTCTGGTATTTGGGTTCTGGGAGTGGGTAGCAGTTAAGAGATTCCCCCAAGGACCAGGTTTGCTAGTCCGATAGAGCCTGGTGGAACCACTGAGACTATGGCCCCTAGCTGCCCTTCAAGTCTGGAATTGAACCCACTACCTGTGACTTCCAGCCAAACAAAAGACAGGCATAGGAGTTGAACATGTACCTGAGGTAGATACACTGCTTGTAAAGAACAATCATGGGAGAAAGAAGGGCTGCTTATGCACAGGGAGACAACTCAGGGGGCAGGAGTGCATGGAGGGATGGACACAGGGAAGAGGTAACTATCAGGAGGAAGTGGGAGGGGAACGGTTGCATTGTTGTAAATTGTGGTCAATGTCATGAGACAAAGTATATGTGAACTGCTGTATGGAAAGTGAATTTGCTCTGTAAATTTTCACCCAAGTCACAATTAAAAAAAAGAGAGACCCCCCCCACACACACACACACAAAATACACTGACCTATCTGTGGTCTGTCCCCAGGGTCCTGACCTCATCCCTGAGGTCCCTCGGCAGCTGGTGACAAACTGCACCCAGAGGCTAGAGCAGGGGCCCTGTAAAGATCTCTTCCAGGAGCTTACCCGGTAAGGCCCTCCCTGCCCACAGGATGGAATTGTGCCCAGAGGAGGGACCTCTGGTGGGACCTTGAAGGCCCGGGCAGCTCAGAAGAGGCTAGCTCGGCCCTGCCCCAGCCCTGTGACCATGGGTTGGCTGCCTCCCCTCTCTGTACCATTCTCAGCTTCAGTGTGGATTCTAGCATCCCTCCTTGATGAGTGCAAACGAGGCTCTGCCAAGAATGATGCCTTCAGGCTGAGCAGGTACCTTTTGGGAGCCTGGGGCGGTGGGGTGACCAGCAGGCTGGGCTTTCTCTTAACAGGCTAACCCATGAATACCTGAGCATGGCCCCTTTCGCAGACTACCTCGACAGCATCTACTTCAACCGTTTCCTACAGTGGAAGTGGCTGGAAAGGTGAGCTCCCCAGAGATGGGGCCAGGATCAACCAAATTGCTAGGCCTTCTCCCAGACCTTGACTCCTGCTGTGCAAGTGGTTACTTCCCTACTTCTTGCTCACAGGCAGCCAGTGACCAAAAACACCTTTAGGCAGTACCGAGTCCTAGGCAAAGGTGGCTTTGGGGAGGTGAGTGACCTGGTCAGAGCCCCAGGCAGAGTCCAGAGGGCCGGGGTAGGGTGGGGCCCTGGACCAACCCTGGCCCTCTGAGCCCGGCACCCCAGCAATGGCATAGCATAGCAGGCACCCATTTGTCTGGTCTACCTTGGCCACAGGTGTGTGCCTGCCAGGTGCGGGCAACAGGCAAGATGTATGCCTGCAAGAAGCTGGAGAAGAAGCGGATTAAGAAGCGGAAAGGCGAGGCCATGGCGCTCAACGAGAAGCAGATCCTGGAGAAAGTGAACAGTAGGTTTGTAGTAAGTACAGAAAGGAGACCTTGCCCTTTCTCTCAGTCCCATCTGCCAGGCTAAAGTCTCTTCCTACCTTCCAAGGGGCCACCCTCCCTCCAATCCCACCCCACCCTCCATGATACTGGGGAAGGACAGAGTTGGGGTGTTGACACAGGCCTGGGAGCAGCTGGGCCTCAGGAGTAGCACTGAGAATGTTCTTTGGGGTGGCTGGTGCCAACCCTGCCATTAGGCAGGCCTGTAACCCTTGCTTGAGGCTTGGGTCCCCTTGGCTACAGGTCAGCCTGGCCTACGCCTACGAGACCAAGGATGCCCTCTGCCTGGTGCTGACACTGATGAATGGGGGAGACCTCAAGTTTCACATCTACCACATGGGCCAGGCAGGCTTCCCCGAGGCACGAGCTGTCTTCTACACTGCTGAGATCTGCTGTGGCCTGGAGGACTTGCACCGGGAACGCATTGTATACAGGTGTGGAGGGCATGGATACCCTCTGGTCAGGCTCAGCCTCAGCCTATGGAAAGATGCTGGGGTGTTGGGCCCCATCTGAGGTCATAAGCTTGTCCTGCTGGGCTTGGGCTCGCCACTTTCCTTTCAGTGGACCAGAGCCTAGGCTTTGGGTTATGACTGACCCATGTGTGAATCCTAGCTTTGTCACCCCTCTCTGTGTGACCCTGGCAGTCAGCTCCCTGCTCCCAACACCATTTCCTTTTCTGGGAAGCCAAGACAATAATTCCCATCATTCCTCCCTCACAGGTTGTAGGGACTGAATGAGATAGTACGGTAAGGTTCCTGGCCCAGAGCCCAGCCCCTAGTCAGAGCTCAGATTCCTATTGCTTATTGTCCCCATTCATTAGCACCAGAACCAGGCACAGTTGCTACTCCTGTCATTTCACTTGAGCCTTATTATGGCCCCAGGAGGGGATGGATGAGCAGCCCCATTTGAGAGACAAGGAAAGATAAGAGTCAGCCCCAAAGGGGAGGAGGGGTGTGCCTTGCATCAAGGGCAAGCAAGGCTTTGGTGGTGTCCAGGGAGTTCCCGTCCTGGGTGGTAGTGCCTTCCACTTGCTTCGAGAGTTCTGGCTCTGTAACTCCATCTTCTGCTCCCTTGGGATGGGGCTCCTGCAGGTGAGGGGAGGACTGGGCTATCCATTGTCACTGTGTCAGCAAATTGGTCCTGTGCTCACTCTACCTGTAGTCCCAGGAGGTGAATGAGTTTGGCAAGGGTGGCTCCAGCTGGCTCCCTGGCACACTAAGCAGCCTCTGACCCTGCCTTTCTCTCCTACAGGGACCTGAAGCCCGAGAACATCCTGCTGGATGACCACGGTGGGTGGGGGCACCGCTAAAGGGGTGGGGTTGAGTGGGCGGCATGGTCCTATAATGGCTCCTGCTCCTGTGCCACACACAGGTCACATTCGTATCTCCGACCTGGGGCTGGCTGTCCACGTGCCAGAGGGCCAGACCATCAAAGGCCGCGTGGGAACTGTAGGCTACATGGGTGAGTCTCCCTCCACCTGGTCCGCCAGCCTCCTTGCATCCCTGGCTCACTGTCCAAGACCCTACTCACTTCTGTTTGGGAGTTTCCTGTAGCTCAGGGAATAAAAAGAGCCCATACTGGTATTCCCAGTTTGTAGATTAGGAGACCAGGACTCAGCCAGGACCCCTACCACTTATGAATCCAATGTCGTTCATTCATTGTTGAATGCCTGCTATGGGCTAGGCCTGGCGGGGACTGCTGTGTACACTGTGGAGGGGCTCAAACTTGGACTCCTGGTCCTGGCTCTCCCTGCCCCTAAAATTCCCATGTTCAGAGTTAGAGCATCTGTGGGGCCGGGTAGAAGGACCAAGATGTACCCCTGTGTTGCCCTTGGGGACACATTCCCCCCGGACCCCCTGACACAGCACACGGAGCTAGGCTTCACAGCTCCACCCCTTATTTGTGTGGCCCTGGGCCAGGTACTTCGCTTCTCCCAACCTCACTTTCCTCGATGGTAAAACGATGATCCAACCTGCCTGCCAGGCTCACCTTGAAGATGAAAAGAGATAGTAGAGGAGAAAATTGCTACATGCCTGTCCTGGCACGTAGCGGGTATTCAGCAAGCATTAATTGTCTTCTTTCTTCTGTCAGATACTAAGTCCAGAGGTTGCATACTGCTAGCCTCACGGGTCCAGTTTGGCCTACATTTTTATTTAAATCAAAATGTTTCACAAAACAGTTTGATGGTTTAGCAGCATTTAATAAGCCAGACCATTTCACATTAAAACCAGGGATTTCTGACTTGTTTGGAAAAATCAGAAGATGGGGCAGGCTGCATCAGCTTCCTTGCACGGGACATGTGCTCTCCTATTTGCCATAGTCCCCACCAGAACACTTAGTGGCTGGTTGAGTGCTTCAATTTTGGGCCCCTGACTGAACTAGGTGGAAGGAAGACTGGGCAATCTACTTCTGTAAAGATGTACCGCCTTGGAAACCCAAAGGGGGTCACTATGAGTTTGGGGTTTTTTTTTTGAACTGACAGGCATTACAAGCCCAATGGCTCTGTCTCCAGGTCTCCTACCTCCACCCCACCCTAACTCTGTGCCTCCCGCCACAGCTCCAGAGGTGGTGAAGAACGAACGGTACACATTCAGCCCAGACTGGTGGGCGCTCGGCTGCCTCCTGTATGAGATGATTGCAGGCCAGTCGCCCTTCCAGCAGAGGAAGAAGAAGATAAAGCGGGAAGAGGTGGAGCGGCTTGTGAAGGAGGTACCTGAGGAGTATTCCGATCGCTTTTCTTCCCAGGCCCGCTCACTCTGCTCCCAGGTATGGCAGCCCACAGAGGGCTGAGTGGCAGGGTTGGACCAAGGCACTTCACCCACCCATCTGCCCCAGGCATGCTGACTGCCCCTTGTCCTGCCACAGCTCCTCTGCAAGGACCCAGCTGAGCGCCTGGGGTGTCGCGGGAGCGGCGCTCAAGAGGTGAAGGAGCACACCCTCTTCAAGAAGTTGAATTTTAAGCGGCTAGGAGCTGGCATGCTGGAGCCGCCATTCAAGCCTGATGTGAGTGGTGCCTGGGCCCACAGGGACCAAGCCAGTGGGTGGGAGCTCTTGGAGTACTGATCAGGACACATGCAGTGCAAGTGGCAGAAAACCCAACTCAAATGGTCTAACTTCCCCCAAAAAAATAGAATTCACTGGGGCTCCCAGAAGTGAAAAGCCCAGGACAGAATTAATAGGAGTACTTGGTGGCCGCTGGTTTGGGTTAACCGGTTGCAGTAGAGTCAATTCCCTAGTGGTTTTCAAGGCTGTGATCTCTCAGAAGCAGATTGTCAGGCTTTGTTTCTAGGTGCCTCTGGGTAGGTTCAAACTGCCAGACTTTGGATTATGTCCCAGTACTTAAATGACTGCACCACCCGTTACTGAGGGACCTCAGTAATGCCAAAAGAATCCCTAGGCTGATGCTCATTACCTCTGATTGCTCAGAGGACACCCTCTCCCCAGGACTAGCTGACTCTGTCCAGGGACCTTGATCCTCACTGGCCACTCCTGGGTCAGATCCCACTGCCAATGAGAGCGGTCCATTTCCCAGAGGAAAACCAACATGCTATTGCCAGCAGGGCAGAGGGATGTTGGGATGATAGACCACTATTCCACTCCAGCAATGCTGACCATCCCTCTGTGGATGGGATCCTTCTGCAGTGGGCCAGGCACCCTGCAAACACATGCATCCTCTAGTCATTGGGTTCCAAGTGGCAGAAACCCAACCCAAATGTCCTTAAGCACAGCATGGTGCTTATTGGTTCATTTGGCCAGAGAGTCTCACAGCAAGGCCAACATCAGGGCTTTATGCCAGGTTGTTAGCACACTCCATCTCTTTGCTCTGCTTTGGCCTGTTGACTGTATCCCTCCCATTGAATAGAGGCTTCCCTGTATAAAGTCACAGGGAAGGCTCTGACTGGCCAAGGTTAGAGCATGTGCTTGCCCATCCCCTTGCCATGTCTAAGAGGACTAGGTCCTGTGACTGTACCAATGTTCTGTTGTGATCCAAAGTGTTTCATTGGCTGAGTTTTGGAAGAAGGTCTCCAGGCCTTTGTCCTTAGTCCATCCTAGTCTTGAATCTTTACCAAAACCTTTTCAATGTCACAGCAACACATAGCCTTCCTGACAGATGGGTAGTGGCTGCACATGAAGTGCTTTGGCCAGAAATCAAAGCTGGGTCTCCTGCATGGCAAGTGAGAATTCTACCATTCAATCACCAGTACCTCAGTCTGATAGATAGTTCACCAGAAACACCGGGGAGGCAGCCAGGAAGGTGATGTGCAGGCCAGGTTGATGGGTGTCAGTCTTATAGGTGTTTGTTTATATATTCAACAAATACAAGTTCCATATGTGCTGGGCCTTGGAGATACGAAGTTAGCAGGGCCAAGCCCTGCCCTCATGGAATTTATGCTCTGTTGGGGACACACCAAAATAATAAACCTTTTGGTGGAAAACAATTTCAGATAACGTTCAGGGTGACAAAGGAACATAAAGCAATCTAAGAAGACAAGAAGGAGTCCATGAGTGGCACAAATGGTTAAGCACTCAGCCACTAGCCTAAAGGTTGGCTATTCGAACCCACCCAGAGGTGCCTTGGAAGACAGCCTTGACTGTCTTTCACAGCTTTGAAAACCCTAGGGAGCAGTTCTATTCTGCACACGTGGAGTCGCCATGAGTCAGGGTGACTTGGCAGCAACTAGCAACAAGAAGTCAAGAAGGATGAGACTGGGGCATTTTTAAACACAGTGGTTTCTGAGGAACTGATGGTTAAGCAGCAACCTAAAATACATGAAGGAGTATGCTGTGCCAACGTCTAGGGTGTGAGCCTTTCAGACAGAAGGAGCAGCAAGCATCGAGGCCCTGGAGCAGGCTCCAGCCTTGTGCAATAGACAGCACTGAGAAGGGCAGTGTGGCTGGTGTGGAGCACGTGGGGCAAGAGAGCCTTGAAGGAGGCAGGGCCCTAGGAGGCTGGCAGGGATTGTGGTTCCAAAGTGTGGAGGGGTCATTGGAGAATGCTGAGCAGGAACATGAGATGTGGAGGGTGGACTGGAGGGCCAATTAGGGGACTGCTTCCTGAGAATGATGGTCTCCTGTAGTAGCTCTGGTGGCATAGTGGATAAAGTATTTGGCTGCTGACCAGAAGGTAACAGGTTCAAACCCACCAGATGCACCACAGAAGGAAGGTGGGGCTATCTACTTCCATAAAGATTCACGGCCTTAGAAACCCAGTGGGCATCATTATGAGTCAGAATCAACTCAATGGCAGTGAGTTTGTTTTTTGGTTTTGGTGTAGTCCTCACTGGAACCCTGCAGGGTAGCCATGTCATGGGCTTAGGTGACTAGCCTTGTGTCCAGGGCTAGCACTTAACCAAGTAAGCCTGCCCCAAGGTGGCGGCTGCTGCTCACTTTTATTCCACCCCCCACCTCCCATCATCTTGCTGAATCTCAAGGTAAATTCACCACCTCTGGCATCATTCAAAGTCAGAGGTAGAACCAATGCCCTGGAGGTCAACTTTTTAGAAGCAGCAGATGAAAAGCAAGCGTGATGATTTTCTTTTTTCTTAATAGCACCACTGAGATATAATTCATACCCTACATTTAATGTGTACAACTCAGTGGCTCTTCGCATATTCACAGAGTCGTATAGCATTACCACAATAGTAGAGCATTTTCATCACCCCATATAGAGACTCTGTACCCTTTAGCCATTAGTCCCCAAACTCCCTTTTCCTGCCCTCCTAGCCCTGTGGTTGTTATTAGGTGCTGTCCAGTCAGTTTCTACTCATAGCGACCTCATGTCCTGTGCCATCTTCATAATCATTGCTGTTTGAGCCCATTGTTCCAGCCACTATGTCAATCCATCTCATTGAGGATCTCCCTCTTTTTTTTGCTGATCCTCTACTCTACCAAGCATGCTGTGCTTCTGCAGAGACTGTTCCCTCTTGGTAACATGTCTAAAGTACATGAGATGAAGTCTCATCATCTTTGCTTCTAAGGAGCATCCTGACTATACTTCCAAGACATGTATTCGTTCTTTTGACAGTCCATGGTATATTCAATATTCTTTACCAACACCATAATTCAAATGCATTAATTCTTTATTCATTGTCCAGCTTTCACATGCATAAGAGGCGATTGAAACTACTATGGTTTGGGTCAGGCACACTTTAGTACTGAAAGTAACATCTTTGCTTTTTAACACTTTAAAGAGGTGCTTTGCACCAGGTTTGTCTAATGTAATACATTGTTTGATTTCATGACTGCTGCTTCCATGTGTTGATTGTGGATCCAAGTGAAATTAAATCCTTGGAGACTTTAATATTATCTGCATTTATCATGATGTTATTTATTGGTCCAGTTGTGAAGATTTCTGTTTTCTTTACACATTGAAGGCTGTAGTCTTTTTCATCAATAAGTGCTTCAAATCTTTGCTTTTAGCAAGCAAGGTTTTGTCATCTGCATATCACAGGTTGTTAATGAATCTTCCTTCAACCCTGATGCCACATTCTTCCTAATATAGTCCAGAGTGTTTGCTCTATGTACAGATTGAATAAATATGGCAAAAAGAAACAACCCTCACACACACCTTTCCTGATTTAAGCCACTCAGTATCTTCTTGTTCTAGCCTGCGTGAGCACACTTAAGTGTTCTGGAATTCCCATTCTTCAAAATGTTATCCATATTTGTTATGACCCATACAGTAAAATGCCTTTTTGTGGTCAATAAAACACAGGTAAATGTCTTTCTGGTATTCTTTGCTTTTAGCCAAGATCCATCTGGCATCAGCAGTGGTATCCCTGTTCCATGTCCTCTTCTGAATCTGGCTTGAATTTCTGGCAGTTCCCTGTCAGTGTACTGTTGTAACCATTTTTGAATTATCTTCAGCAGCATTGTACTTGCATGTGATATTAATGATATTGTTTGATAATATACGCATTCTGTTGGATCGCCTTTCTTGGAATGGTCTCAAATATGGATCTCTTCCACTCAGTTGGCCGAGTAGCTGTCTTCCAGATTTTTAGCATAGAGTTCAGACTTCTGGTAAGATAGAGGAATAGGCAGACAAGCGACACAGACTTTCTTCAACAAAGAAAAGAAAAAACAATTGACAGATACAGAAGATAATCCTGGAGCCCTGAGCTTTGAAAGGAACTATATTGAAGTGGATTAGGCACCAACTAGTGGAAAAATCTGAATGAAAACAGTGATTACAGAGATGGTTGGACCTCAGACTGTCAGCTACTCTGACGGGACCAACAGCCTGAATATTTCCAAGCAGTGTTGGGAACTGAGACTTGACCTCAAGGTCAGCCCTGGTCACCAACGGCTGCAGGGATGACTGCACTGGTGGCCTATGACTAGGAAAGGAAACAGCAAGGAGGGAGACAACCTGAGCTGTTGACTTTCTGCTGTCTGGTGCAGCCATTTTGATTGTTGATGCAGCAGCCGTTTTGGATATTTAAAATGACCGAGGGTGCAGCCATTTTGAATGTTTACAAGTGGTGGCCATTTTGGATATTAAAAGTGACCTAGGACGCAGCCATTTTGAATGTTTACAAGGGCGCAACCATTTTGAATCTTTACAAGTGGCAACCATTTTGAATCTTTACAAGTGGCAACCATTTTGGATTTTAAAGTGATAGCATAAACACAAAAACGTCACAATGTTTTGGAGACAACAGAGTATCACAGTCCACATAAAGAAACAAGATAAAGCAGGAGAAACAAGGGACCAGGATATAGACCCAAAACACATCCCTGAGGAAGACACAGCATTGGAACTCCCTGATAAGGTATCTTCAACGAATTGAGAGATGAAGGAAAACACAGAGAAAACCCTACAACAATTTCAAAAGACAATACAAAAACAAAATGACAAAATAAATGAAAAATTAGAAATGATACAAAATCTACATACAGAAATCCAGAAGGTTAATACTAAATTTTCAGAAATAGATAAGACATTGAATGGGAAAAGGAGCAGAATGGAATCAATGGAAGACAGAATTAGGGAGATTGAAGGCAAATACCTGAACACTTCTTTGGAAAGGGATAAATCAGAAAAAAAGATCAAACAAAATGAAGAAACCCTAAGGTTCATGTGGGATACCATCGAAAGGAATAACCTACATGTCATCAGAATCCCAGAACAGGAAGAGACAAATAAAACCACAGAGAAAATTGTTGAAGATTTGTTGGAAGAGATTTGTCCTGGTATGATGAAAGATGAGAACATATCCATTCAGGAAGTCCAATGAACCCCAAAGAGGATAGACCCCCTAAAGAAAATCACCCAGACATATCATCATCAAACTCACCAAAACCAAAGACAAAGAATCATGAGAGCAGCATGGAAAAAACGAAAAGTTACCTATAAGGGGCAACCAATAAGACTAAGCTCGATTTCTTGGCAGAAACCATGCAGGTAAGAAGACAATGGGATGGTATATATAAAACCCTGAAAGAGAAAAATTTCCAACCAAGAATTATGTACCCATCAGAATTGTCTCTCAAATATGATGGTGAAATTAGGACATTTCCAGATAAGCAGAAATTAAGGGAATTTGTTAAAACCAGACCAGCTTTACAAGAGATGCTAAAGGGAGCCCTTTGGACAGAGAAGCAACACAGCCAACAACAATTGACCATTAACACACATGAGGATATAGCCCAGAAACCAACCCAGCCATGAAAGTATCCAAAGTAAAGAAGCCTACAAGATCGTAAACAGGGAACCAGAGACATCAATTGACAAATGAGGACAACTTCAAACCAAAAAGAGGGAAAAAAAACTGTGTCATTAAAGAACTTGTAGAGAAAACTAGTAACCTCAAGGAAAAATGATAAACCATCACATGGAAAAGAGGACCAGCATAAATATTCAGCAAACACTAAAACAATAGCAATGAAGGAAGTGATAAAACAATTCATAAATAAAACAAGCTCAGCATAGAAAATTATATGGAACAAAGAAATTGACACCATGAAAAAGCACATAACAAAAGTGACAACAACAAATTCATAGTTGCTGATAATTACATAACTGGCAAAAGACTTATCTCTAGGTTTTATAATGGAAGAGTAGATGACCAAACTATGGTACATACACGTAATGGAATGCAGCACTAAAGAATAATGTAGAGTCTGTAAAACACCACATAATATGGATGAACTTGGAGGACATTATGCTGAGTGAAATAAGTCAATCACAGAAGGACAACTATAGTATTAGTTCGTTATTGTGGAGGGTCAAGGAAAGGTTTACATATGGAGGGAAACTTTATTTGTTGGTTGCCAGGGGTGGAATGGTGGGGGGAACACCACCAAAAAAAAAAATGCATTGACCCATGTCTCTTTAGTTTTGTGTATTTCACTGTACATAAATTATATTTCAATAAGTTACATTTAAAAAATTTTTTAGCATAGACAAATGAGCACTTCCAGCATTGCATCGGTTTGTTGAAACACTTCACCGGGTTGTCTGTTAATTCCTGGAGCTTCGTTTTTCATCACTGTCTTCAGTGGAGCTTGGATTTCTTCCTTCAATACCTTTGGTTTTTAATCATAAGCTGCTTCCTAAAATAGTTGAAGATCAAGTGACTGTGTATCCCTTCCATCTTCTGATGCTTCCTGCATAATTCAATATTTTTACCCATAGAATCCTTTGATATTGCAACTCAAGGCTTGATTTTTTTTTTTTTTTTTTTTCAGTTCTTTCAAATTGAGAAATGCCAAGTATATTCTTCATTTTTGGTTTTCTAACTTCAGAACTTTGCACATTTCATTATAGTACTTTGTCTTCTTGAGTCACCCTTTGAAATACTCTGTTCAGCTTTTTTACTTCATTGTTTCTTCCTTTGCCTCTAGCTACTGTATATTCAAGAGCAAGTTTCAGAGCCTCTTCTGACATTTTGGTCTTTTCTTTCCTGTCTTTTTAATGACCTTTTACTTTGTTCATATTATGATGTCCCACAACTTGTTTGGTCTTTGGTCATTTATGTTCAGTATACCAAATCTCTTCTTGAGATGGTCTCTAAATTCAAGTGGATTTCTCAAGGTTGTATTTTTGCTCACGTAGACTTGATTTTCTTCAGCTTCAGCGTGAACTTGCACGTGAGAATTGATGGTCTGTTCCACAGTTGGCCCCTAACTTTGTTCTGACTAATGATCATCTTTTTCCACAGATGTAGTCACTCTGATTCCTGTGTATTCCATTTGCCCAGGCAACCACTAATCTACTTTCAATGTCTATGGATTTGGCTTTTCTGGACATTTCATGTAAATGGAATTATCCAGTCTGTGGCCTTTTCTGTCTGGCTCCTTTGACTTACCATAATGTCTTTAAGGTTTATCCATGTTGTAGCATGTGTCAGTACTTTGTTGCTTTTTATAGCTTTATATTCCATTGTATGGATATACTACATTCTGTTTATCCATTCAACCAAAACCAAACCAGTTGCCATCAAGACTCTGGCTGTGGTGACCCCATGTGTGTCAGAGAACTGTGCTTCTTAGGGTTTTCAGTTGCTGATGTTTTTATTTTTTTTAATTGTGATTTGGGTGAAAGTTTACAAAGCAAATTCACTTTCCATACAGCAGTTCACATACACTTTGTCTCATGACATGGACTGCAATTTACCACAATGCAACAGTACCCCTCCCACTTCCTCCCCATAGTTACCTCTTCCCTCCATGTACTCCTGCCACCTGAGCTATGTCCCTGTGTGTTCACAGCCCTTCTTTTCTCCCATGATTGTTCTCTCCAAGGAGTGTATCTATGTAGTGTAAATGTTCACCTCATATGCCTGTCTTTTGTTTGGCTGGAAGCCACAGGTGTGGGTTCAATTTCAGACCTGAAGGGCAGCTACGGGCCATAGTCTCAGTGGTTCCATCAGGCTCTATCAGATCAGCAAACCTGGTCCTTTTTTTAAAAAATGATTTTGAGTCTTGTTCCACATTGTTCTCCTACTCTATCCAGGATCTCCTACAGAGATCCCCCTCCGAGTGGTTGACAGCGGTAGCCAAGCACCATGTAGTTCTTCTGGTCTTATAGTCGTATAGGCTACAGATCGCATGGTGTACCAGTTGCTAGAACTAATTGTTTCCATGAATCTTTGATTTTCTTCATTCTTTGCTCTGGATGAGAAGAGACCCATCATTGCATCTAGATGGCCACTTGCAAGCTTTTAAGATCCCAGTTGCTACTCGCCAAAGTACAAGGTGGAACAATGTTTTGTGTAGTATGTCATGCCAGTTGAACTTGATGTCCCCTGTGACTGTGGTCCCAAGCCCACAGGTCCAACTACTTGCTCCCTCTGGGTAGCTGGCTGTGGCCAAGAAGTGACTATAACCTTGTCCCTTGTCAGCTCTACTATACACCTGGGAATTGTTACAGAACATAGCAATATACTTGTAGAAACATTGTCTGCCAACCCTACACATGGTCTTGGGCACACTCCCCCCTGCATAGACATAACTAATAGTTCAGCCTGTCCACACATCTCTCCATCTGTATACCCATGTTTGCCTTCCCTGACTGATTTTTCAGAAGTAGATAACCAAGCCTTTCTTTTGAGTTGCCTCTAGGTGGACTTGAACCTTCAGCCTTTTGGTTAGCACTCTCCAGGGACCCCTATCCATTCATCAGTTAATGGGTACTTGGGCTGTTTCCACTTTCTGGCTATTATGAATAGTGCTGCTGTGAACGTTAGTGATAAACGTTAGTGATAACTCCTTTCTGTTAGCATTGGTCATGTGGCTGGATGTTTTCATTTCTCTTGGTATGTACTTAGGAGTTGAATTAGTGAGTCATGTTAACAGCAGGAAGGAGCTCTGGTAGTGCAGTGCCTAAGCAGTTGACTGCAAACCAGAAGGCTGGTGGTTCAAACCCAAGAGCCACTCCTCGGAAGGAAGGTTGGGCAGTCTACTTCCATAGTGATACCACCTCGGAAACCCAAGGAGAGGTCGCTATGAGTCGGGTCCGACTCAACGGCATGTAACAACAACAACATTAACAGCAGGGGGTTTGGGGTTTTGTCTTTATGGTGACTCTATGTTTAACCTTTTGAGGCACTGCCAGACTGTTTGCCAAAGCAACAATACCATTGTGTATCATGGTCTTATTTTAATTGACATCTGTAACAGCACAATTTAGAAAGCAGGTGGAAAGATGAAGTAGAAAGTGGCCTTCTGGATCTGAGGTGGGCTCCTAGAAGGGGGCCAGGGAGGAGATGTGGGAAGATAATACTAGTCCTTTGGTTGGCTGTGAAGCATAAGAAGGGGCTGAAGCAAACTGCTGGACATTCTAGGCCAGAGGGCCCAGTCAGTGCTGGGACCTGTACAAGGAACCAGCTGAGGTTCCACCTGCACTCACCTCCCCAAGCCATGCACCCATGTGGCCATGGGCACATGGAGGGGGTGGCTTTACTGATTCTACAAACATACCATGCAGACTGGCTAGCCATGGTCCATCAGCTACCCCTAAGCAGCACCTCTTATGCCAGCCTTTATATAGCCCTGTTCAGCTGTGGAGGCAGCCACTGGGCTGGCTGATGGGTGGATGATGAAGTGGCAGTACTGTGCTTGGGCACTGTGTTTCTGATACCACACTTGAGAGCTGCAGCTGTCAGGGGGCAGGCTCAGGCCAAGACTCAGTCTGAGTTGCCTTCCCTTGTGTTGGGGAGAGAGGGGATGATCCTCTTTGACCATTTGCTTCTGTCACCCCAGCCCCAGGCCATTTACTGCAAGGATGTTCTGGACATCGAGCAGTTTTCCACGGTTAAGGGTGTGGAGCTGGAGCCCACCGACCAAGACTTCTACCAGAAGTTTGCCACGGGCAGTGTGCCTATCCCCTGGCAGAATGAGGTGGGGCCTGCCCAGCTGGGGGGTGGGCTCCCAAGGGGAATGGAATCCCTGGGGGCAGCTCTCCCAACCAGCCTGTTCTGTGGCAGATGGTGGAGACTGAGTGCTTCCAGGAGCTGAATGTCTTTGGGCTGGATGGTGCAGTCCCTCCAGACCTGGACTGGAAGGGCCAGCCACCTGCGCCCCCCAAGAAGGGCCTGCTACAGAGACTCTTCAGCCGCCAGGTACCCCAGCAGCCTGGCTCCCAGGGACAGTGGGTGGGAGGCAGAGCTGGTGCCCGCATGCGCTGGGAATGGTCCACCTCCAGCTGTGCCTGTGGTGCCCAGGGACTCCTGCCTCACTCCCACCTTTCTCTCACCCCGGCTGGGCTCATCGCCTCTTTTCTTTTTCCAGAGGTGAGCAGTGTGGGCTCCCCATGGGTTGGCCTTGCTGCCTGGCCTCGGGGAGCCACAGGCAGCCCTTCCATGACAGAGGCGAGATGTGGGTGAAAGAAGTCTGGTGCCCCCCTCCTCCCACACTGTTCTTCATACCCTGGCACCTTGAAGCTGCTAGCCTTGCTTAGCTGCCCTGTTTCCCCCTGCCCTGCCTCTACCACCCCAGGAGAAAGGGGCTGCTGGACAGAAGCCTTGCCTAGGCAGAGCCTGGAACCTACCTAATAACCTTCCTGCTGTCTGCTGCTGGCAGCCTCTGTCTGCACTGATGCCCAGCCACATTGGCCAGACCTCTGACCCCGCCTGGCAGGGCTGGGGCTTCTGGCGTGTCTGGTGGCTAATGGCACTTGCTCTGCCTCTCTCCCCGTGTCTCCCTGCCCCTCCAGGATTGCTGCGGGAACTGCAGTGACAGTGAGGAAGAGCTCCCCACCCGTCTCGAGTTCCCCACCCAACTCTAGTCCCCAGCCTGAGGCCCCCATCGGCGGTTGGCGGTAGCAGCTACTCCAGTGCTGTTTACAGTTTTGCACAGTGGTCTTCCCCATTGTCCACTCAAGCTGTGGTGGGGGAACACAGCCCAAGCTGTTCCCCAGTGCCCTCTGCCCCTCAGCCCCTGGCCCGGCTGAGTCTGGTGAGGCCTGGGCTATATCCCTGGGACAAAGGTGCGTCCCTTTAGCTCTTCTCTGCAGAGCTTGGGGCTTTCTGTATTTATGTATTTGTATGAATGTATATAGCAATCAGAGCGTTCTTAATACCCAGCCTGGGTCTGGCGCCCCAGCCTCAGCTCCCCGGGGCAGCCAATCCTGGCCTGGGAGAGCCAGGGGCTGGCAGAGGAGCCACTGCCAAACTCAAGGCTCCTCAGGCTCGGCTCTGGCTGGGTCAGGCACCTCTACCCCCCAGTACTGTGCTCGCCACTGCAGACCTTTAAGTGAAACTTGTGCCTGCCCCTGCTCCCCTGGGTGCAGCCACCCCATTTTGGGACCCACTGCTGTCCTTTCTCAATACTTGTCAGAGCTGGATCGGGGCCTCTGCTCTGCTAGGCCTGTGCCAAAGTCTGGCCAGAGATTGGGCTGACCCTGGGACCCTCAGCCCACTGCCCAGGCTATCCCAGATGGGTCTGCCTCTGCCTTCCGGCTCCCAGGGTGCCTCCCCCCTTACGCTGGGCTCTGCCCTGAAGACACTTTCAGAAATGCCTCAGCCCAGGCCATGGGGGTTGTCCCTGGCCAACCCTCAAACATTCCGCCTCCCCTCGTAACAATAGACACACATGCCCAGCAATAATCCGCCCTTCCTGTGTGTGCCTGTGGGTTGTATGTGTGTGTGTGTGTGTGTATGCACATGAGAAGGGGGTAGGATGAGGGTGTCTGCCTGCTCCCCAGGCCCTAGCCCAGGCCCTTCCCAGACTGTGATGGCCATCCTGGCCCCAGTGCTAGGGTCGCCTGGGATTACAGGGCCCTGGTTTTTCCATATTTAAAGCCAATTTTTATTACTCATTTTGTCCAGTATAAGCTGCCATGTGTCTCCATGTGAATACAGTCCGAGCACAAACCTGACCCCCGGCCCCTGCTTGCCTCTTTCTTGCTCGGGTGCTCTAGTGGTCTTCGTGCTTCCCTGGCCCTGCTGGAAGGTGCGTTGGAGGTGGGCCTGACAGGGCTGCCCTTCCAGCAAGGCCCAGGATCGCCAGGCCTGATCTTTTAGGGTGGCCTCTCTGGCAGCCAGGCCCCAGTGGGCCTTCAGGGCTTCTCAGCTGCTTCAATGGGACAAGGCCTGTGGGAAGAAGCTTGGGTACCCATTGGGATGCAGGTCTGGCTCTGCCTGGGCTAGGGAGGCAGACCTAATTGGCAGCTTCCCTGCCAAGGCCAAGGTGGCCTTGCTGCTTTTGTGGACTTGGAGTGGCCTGGGGCTATGTAGCTACCAGGTCTGTCTTACCTGGGCTGACACAAGTGCATTAGACCTATCCCTGTGTTTTGACCTTGAAGCATGAAACGTGGGTGGGCAAAGACTTAGACATTGTTGGCAGTGGGAAGAAGGCTGTGTCGGGTGGATGGGGACAAGCCACCTGAGCATCAAGGAGGCTTCTCTGAAGATAGCAGTTGAGCTAGGCCTTGAAGGAGGCATTCACCTGGGGACCAGAGGAGGTTTCAGGAGAGTACTCCAGGCAGGGGAGACACTTATGCAAAGACTCAGGGGTGAGAGCTTATTGACCACAGGTCTGTCCTAGACCTAAAAAACTATCACTGTACTCCCAGTGTCCCAACCCCCCAGGAATGCCCTGTAACCACCATAAGGATTTGTTCCTTGCTGCTGGACTGGGCATCCAGTGCCACAGAAGCTACCTCACTTTGCAGTTACAGTTCTGGGTTCAGGCTTTATGGCTTTCATGAGGCTCTTTCCCTATCTGTAAAAGGGTATAATAACCACTACTTCACAGGGTGAGTATAAGGATTTACTGAAGCTGTGGGACACCAAACTGATCCATTATCTCAAGGACAGCCAGAAGACTCAAAGCTCAACTTGGCAGAAGGCACCTCTGTGCTGTCCAGCCCATGGTGTGTGAAGTGGTTGTTCTATCAACTTGAGGGAGGTGGTGGGGAGAGAGCCTTGCTCAAGGTCTTCCAGCTAGCGAGTAGTCCATGCAGAGTAAAGCTGGATCCTGTCCATAGGTGTGAGGTTGGGGCCTGAGGTGCATGTGCTGTGTCTCAGGGTCTGCTGGTTGGGGGTGGGGGAGTGGTTAGGTAGGTACTAGTGTGCAGAGGCCAACAACTAGCCCCATGTGTGAATGTGCGTGGGTGTCAGGTTGATGTCTGGCTCCCCAAGTCACTCTGCTTACAGGTGAGTCCCATACCTTGCCAAACTGCTTCTGCTAGAGAGGCAGGAAACTTGGTTAAGTTTACCTTAAAGCCTTTCGCACAGTGGGTCCTTGGAGTAGGAAACTCCCAGACCCCACATGGCTCTGTGGTGGGAACTGGGGACCCAGATAGAGATGAGGCCCCTACCAGCTTGGAGGTCAGTCTAGTAGGCAGGCAGGCATGGGAATAGTGGGACCACCCAGTGTGATCAGCACTGGAAGAGATGATTTTAGGCCTGGTAGGGCCTGGACTGCAGGTGGGAGAGGATGCCAGGCAGGGAGGGCTCTTGGCCATGAGAGTGTTGGGTGTTGGTCAGGAACAACACGTGCCTAGGAAGAGGAGACATACAAATGGTCGAAGGCCCTGAATGGTTTAGGGTGGTTGGTTGTGGGGTAGAGTGGAAAAGGGAGGTCCCGGAGCTGGGGACAGTGAGACCCAGAGACAGAACTTTGAAAACTATGTTAAAGACATAGGGCCTTATCTGGAAGTCAGGGGAGTCCTTGAAGAATTTCAACTGATTGTGTCAGGGTATCTGTTCAAGATCTACAAAAGAGACCCTAGTATATGGCATAAATAGACTATCAAGCATAGCCTAAAATACACAAACAGCAGAAGATAAACGATGAATGGGACCTAAAAATTAAATTTTTATGTGCTTCAAATGGAACTACAAAAGCATCTCATTTCCTTTGGGGCCACCCCCTCCCAGTCCATGTGCCTTAGATGGGGCTGGGCCGGGCCCCTTGATATATATTACACACTGAGTGCATGACTCATGTTGGGCCATCTGGGATTTGTAGTTGCAGATGACAGAACTGTCCACCTAACTTAGAGGGTTAGAAGGATATGAGTCGAATTCACAGACACACCTCATCCTTACCATAGCACAGCCACCAGAAGCAAGATGCTACTGTGCCCAAGACTCCAAATGCAGAGTCTGGATGGCCAGGCTGGAAACCTGCCCATTGTGGATTGGGGTGTGGCAGCACTTGAGTTCACAGGCCCACCAAGATGGGGTTCAGGGAGTTCTGTGATGAAATCTAGGTGCTAGCACCTAATGAAAGGGGGATGTTGGATGGCTGAACACATATCTCCTTCCCCAGATATGGCCATTTAGATTGATTCACAGGCAGACACTGAGAATGAAAAAAAAAAAAAAAAGACACCAAAAGAGAGGTGTGTGTGTGTGTGTGTGTTTGCTAGAACTATTGGGAAAGACTTGGGATTCTCTTTCCCCTGGGGATGGATGGGAAGATATAAGACTAGAGCTGTGGGGTCATCCTGGTTACTACTTGGGGAGAATTTTCCTGAAAGGTACATAGGTACAAAGCAGAGTGGAGAAAAATAGATGCATGCTTGATGCCATTGCTTGAATACCTCAGTCCAACTGGGACCAAAGCTGAGCTTTACCCTGGATTTTCCAGTTACATGAGCAGTCAGTTCACTTTGTGCTCAGGCCTATTTGATTTGGAGTTCTGTCACTTGTAGCAGCTCTGATGGCATAGTGCCTAAGGCATTTGACTGCTAACCAGAAGGCTGGCAGTTCAAATCTACCAGTCACTCCTCCGAAGAAAGACTGGGCAATCTACTTCTGTAGTGATACTGCCTCGGACCCCCAGGGAGGGGTCACTATGAGTTGGATCTAACTTGACAGCAGTGAGGTGTTTTTTTTTTTTTTTTTCTGTCTTTTGTCACTTGCATCTCACTGTGTCCCAGCTGATATGGTAGTGAAAGACGTTTTGTAAGATCACTCTAAGTGTAGTACAGAAGGCAAACTAGAAAAAAAAGCTGATGGACAACCAGGTTGGAACTGGCCAGTAAGACTGGACTTCAGGCAACAGTGGAACCCTCCTGTGTTCCTCAGGGTGAGCAGGGGCCATGCATGGCTCAGACTGGAGGGCTGTGGACTCAGAGTGGCTCCTGTCCCCTGTGCTAATTTCTAGGAGGCATGTGGTGATGTGTGCCCGCTGGGGACACGGTGGGAGGTACCGGGGGAGAGAAGGAAGTCATGTGTTTCTTGGTTGGGGCCACATTGGTTACCTACCTGTCTTCCCATTGGGTGTGCACAGTGCCTTTCAAGATGTGACTAGGGCCTGGACATGTGTAAGTTCCCCAGGTGGAGAGGGTGTGTGGGGGTGTGTGTGGGGGGGTGTATGCCAGAGAGAGGATTTTCTTCCTCGTCTGGCATGCAGCGTGGACGAACGATTGTCTGCACCGGGTCTGCCCCCAGTGCCTGGCTGCATAGTCTGTTGCTGGGAGCTGCGTGTCGTCTGCATCCCCAGTGAAGTGTACCCTCAGTGGCAAGAGCCCGGCGCCCCGTGTGTGTCGTGTCTTCAGCGGGCCTCCCCCTCCTCCTCTCCCAGGCAGCCTCCTCGTGTGTTCCGGGGGGTGGTGGTAGGCCCTCTGTCGGCCGCCGCGCGCGCGCGCACGCCGAACTCGGTACGCGCCGTGTACGCGCCCGTGCGCGCGCCCCGCGGCTCCAGCCCAGCTCTCTGAGCAGCTTTCGCTGCCACCGTCTGCTCCCCGGGGCCGCTCCCGCGTCCCCGAGGCTGGGGGCTTTGCCCGCTGGGCCCGCGCCATTCGTCCCGAATCAGGAGGACGAGCTCGAGGAGGATGCCTGGGCCCGTGAGTACCGCGGCGGCGGCTGCAGGGCCGGGCGGGCGCGGAGCGTGAGTGGGTGACAATCTCGGGGCTGAGCACCTCCCCGCGGGCGACTCTTCACCCTGTTCTCGGGTCACAGTCCCGGACCCCCGCCCTGGCCTCTGGGTGGACCCTCCCCCAGGCCACACCGGAGGGAGGGAGAGTGCCAGCGAGAGAAGGAGCCGGAGTGGGGCGCGAGCCGCCACGGGTTCGCTTGGAAACGGTTGCCACAGCAACAGGGTTGCACTCCCAGGCAACGCTGCTGCGGGGCGGCGACGCCCCCTCCCGCCCCTCCCCCCACCGCATGCGGGGCTGCAGCCCGGGGGCGCTGGGGAAGAGGGAGAGCAGGGGGACCTTTCCGCCCTGGGTGGGCAACCTTTGCCTTTTGAGCCGGTCTGGGTGTGCCTCTCTCCACAGCCCGTCGTGGGTGGGGGTGGGGGGCGAGCGGCCCCGTGGGCACGAGCTGGATCCCACGTGGCTGCAGTCGTCGCAGCAGGGCTCATGGGGTGGCTGCAAACGTGGGGGCGGCCCAGACCCTGGGCCTGCGGCGGGGGGCTGGGGGGGGAAGCTGAAGGAGGCACAGAGACTGGGCCCGGTTCTCAGCCCTGGAACCCTCGCCACCACTACCACCACCCAGGGCCTCCTCCCGCCTGCGAAACAGCCTGCCCGGAGTTGGGTCCCACAGAAGCGATGCTTACCAGAGGAGAAGCAAGGAGCTGGCATCCCTCCTCCTCATGGCCAGGGCATATGCCAAACCGCGGCATGGGCTGGCGTGGATCTCTCGGCTCA